CTTGTGAGAGAGATGTGCAGTGTGGCTTTGGCCTTTGCTGTGCTGTCAGTCTATGGCTGAGGGGTCTGAGGATGTGTGTCCCAAGAGGTGTGGAAGGGGATGAGTGCCATCCCTTTAGCCACAAGGTGGGGATAAATGTGACGTCAGTTATAATAACCTTCCAGTGTTACACACACATACGCGCACACAGGCACACACACTTTTATCCTTCTTTCCTGTTTTAAGAAATTCAGATTGCATCGAGTGCTGTCAAGCTGGCTGAAGCCTTAGAAAAGCTGCTGATAAGTGCAGGCAGTATTGATTCTACTCAGCAGATCTGAGCCATATATCTCTTTGATTATCTGGAACAGGCGACGATTACTTCTACTAACACCACATCCATCTCTGAAACTCAGACCGATTAAGAGAAGCTTTAGGGCCTGCAGTTCCAGTTGTCAGCTCATAAAGGATTTAAGCTGTCAGATTACCCCAAAGCTACTTTCCCTTTACCCTTTTTCACGCTTCCAGGTACCCTATCCAGGGAAAAGGCAACATCACACCTGCCCCTGTCTCCCCCACTTGGTGTGCACCAGGTATGATGACAGCAAGTACAGGTGTAGTGAGGACTTCAAAAACATGGACTTTTAGCGGACGAGAGAACACCCAGAATGATGCAAGCACAACAGCAAACAGAGTGGAAATCCAAACGGCCTGCGGATCAAAATCTTCTTCAGTGACTTTATTCTTCATTTGTGTACTCTATGCACTAAAACAATAAGCACATAAAAAGAAACAGGGAAGTGTAACCAACAAGATCTACAATAAACATGAGACAGCTTTCATTTAACAAGCCAAATGTTACCCCGAGAGTTATTTGTGAACCTTTAGCACATCTGCTGTTTCTTCCATGCTCATTTCATATTAATTTATCATGAGACGTGTTTAGTATTACTGTCAATAAACATATACATAAAGTTGTGTTTTATAGAGGGCTCAGTTAATATTGTTACATAAAACATTATGTTCTGTATGGAATGGAAATGTCAACTGGTTTTAATCACGGTGTGATAACGGTCATAAACAGAATCTTAGTGCAAATACTTTCACAAGCAAACTGACCTTGGATAATATATTTGATTAGTGCATACACGAGTCAAGGTGAAATTCTCTCATGTTAAATCGTTAGTGGTTCTTTTTTCCTTCTGTCCGTGTCCAGTGTGAAATCATGACCTGACACGTGGACTTCTAAAGCTTTAACTAATAAAAAATTAATAACAGGAAAACATTAACCTCCTAGGACCTGGCGTCCACATACATAGACATCACATTTTGGGTTATTTAGACCAAAATACTCAATTTTGCTCAAGAAGGGCCTGATATCCACCTACGAGGACATTATACTGCTACAGTTCTATCAAAATTTTAAATGAATCCTCATATGTGGCTCTTATTTTTCTTAAAAACAAAAATAAGGTAAAAAATAAAATCTGGTAATTCTTTGTTTTTACATTCATCGGGCCCCAATTAGCCCAAATATCAAAGAGAAATTAAAAATGAATGACGTGGAAGAGTTCGGGTCTTAGGAGGTTAAGGGAAAAAGTAGTATAGATCACCAGAGATGTTATGAACTGGGAGTACCGGTATTACCCTGCAGCTGTGAGGTACTTGTGCTGTCCTTTACTTACTCTACTTGTTCTTTATATTTATACTCCACTGCATCTGTGTAAAATATTGTCCTTTGTACTTATATTTATTTGACATCTGCAGTAACTACTTACTTTTTAGGTCGAGTTATCACGTAGAAAACATTTATAATGCTCATCAAATACAGCCCACCATTACAGTATATAAAGAGCTGCAACCTTAGCTACAGCATAAAACACTACTTATACATAAATGCACAGCAAATAATAATAAACCAGAATAAATTCAAATACTAGCCACATACGTCATTTGTTTAATGTAGGATTACATTTTGCTAACTGTAATTGAGTATGTTTTGATTGGAGTACTATAATTGCTACTTTTAATGGGTGTGAATACTTTATGCTACCAATTTGTTAAATGTTACCGCAGCGTAGTACAGAAAAACAGCTATTGTTTTTCAGTGAACTTATGAAAATTGAGAAAAAGTGTTTGTCTAAATCTTAAACCTAACCCTAATTTCAGTTTATTAAGTCAAACTTTTGAGATAATAATGAGAAATTTTGACTTATGGATGGCAAAATAAGCAAATAAATACAGTGATGGAAACGTGTTTCTGTAATTTACGGCTCACACTTTCACATGATTACATCTTTGCTTGTCCTTTGTTTTATTGTTATCAGATAAACCTTTCCAAGTAATCCAAGCTCACATCTTTGGAAACCTTGAGGAAAGTTTACATACTGGTATTAAGTAGAAGGTCTGGACATCATATCTCCTGAACTGCACACCAACACATTGGTGTACCTGTTTAACACTTACAGTGTATTTAAATGATGTGACGAATAATAAAGTCAATCCTTTGGAAGTTAGTTGTCATTTTCAGTAGATACCCTGTAAATTCAAGTTTGACTTTTAGAGTTACAACTTTTAAGTTGATACAAAACATTTTTTTTTACAATCTTCCTAAACACTTTCAGTGTTCACAAGCTTAATGGGATATTTGTCCCCAGATAAGAGTCCGTTTTCCAAATCATATGCTTCTTATCACCATCTTTCATATCAGCTTATAGGAAAGGGCATTTCGGATAAACAACCTTGATTAGTTGTATATAAGGGCTGGCCTCAGCAACTGGACGTTCACTCATCTGAGTCTACCTGTAAAGACAGCAACATCATGAAGTGGCTCGTCGTTTTGGCTGCCCTCGTGGCTTTCGCTGAATGTCTCCATAAGTAAGTCTGACTTGGTTGGTTGTTTCTTTATTTTTTTTATGTATTTGACATTAAATACATAAAAAATTGTGAAACTGTTCCTATGAGGAAATCTAAAGGTCCTCCTGCTCACCTGAATATCGCACAGACATTTCTCCAGCTGTATTCAGGCCTGCCTTGCTCATTGCATGATTTTCTGCTCACGTTGCTACATGTAGGATGCCCCTGATTAAGGGAAAATCTGCCAGGCAAACCCTCAAAGAGAAAGGGTTGTGGGAGGAGTACAGGAAGAATCACCCATACAACCCAACAGCCAAGTTCTACAACAGTGGCACCGAGTCCATGACCAATGACGCTGACGTAAGCCCAGATTAGTAAAAAGCTTTAGATTTTGTTCATGTCGTTGAAAACATACCTTGCTTTACTTTTTCAAAATTGTCTTTTTAAATCTGTA